AGCTGAGCTCAGGAGTGCCTGTACTAAACACCTGGAGGGAGTATACAACTTATTTCTCTAAGGAAATGCGAATAAACTATGAATTTGAATGTGCATTTCTCTCTCTAAACCCTGTAAGTGTGTGTGTAAGTGACATCAAAAGCCGCAGCTGAAGTAAGGATAGGGTTCCTCACTGAGCTGCAGCTGAGCAGCTCCTCCTACTGGAACAATTTATGATCTGTAAAAATTAATCAGATGAACGTTAGAGGAAGTCACAGTATACACACCCTTGGTGTCAAGCATGGTGTTGGCGCAATAATGCTGAGGGTCTTTTTGCTGTCGTTTTAACAGTGTATTGCACCAAGTGAAAGGATATTGATTCAACTTTACCTTTCTACCTAAATCCATACCATGATGAGTGTCTGTTATGACATGAAAATCGTTGGAGCTTTCTCGCTAATAGTCCATGGCCAGAGACTCTTACACCATCTGGAGAAATCTGCATCCATGTGACAGTTTTCCATGGGTTGCTGGGAACTATTTTCTTTACTCTTTCAGAATCATATTGAAGGAGAAGTCCGGTCATATTCAGAATTCAGACTACTGAAAATACTTTAAATATGAAATTATTACATCCATGTTTGTCAAAGAACACTACTGCCACCTACTGGTTTGTGACATTGTCACGGTGCGGTATCGGCTGTTGATCAAGTCCCAGTGCTGTATCTGGTGTTTGTCACAACGCGCTATTATCCAAGTCATCTTGAAAACATTCTTCTTCCAAATGTTGGCTACATATTACGGGTTTTTTCTCTGGCCAGAAAGGTTGAATAACTCTTTTTTTTCACTTTTACCCGATGTATTCCAGCATCCAGCTGCCATGCACGTGGGCATTGTCAGTTTCACTATAGCTCTGGTGAATTTCAATGGTGAAGTCCTCTGGAAATCTTCAATAATTGTTGTTGATTGCAGATGTGTCTAGTAGTTCCCATTGATTTTGCTTGTAAAGCGGGGAGAATGGCGCTAGGCTTACCGCACCGTGACGTCACTGCTGGAAGATGGCAGGAGGGAGGGGTTACTATATTTAGGAAAAATGGCCGCTCCCAGCTCAGTGATCGCGACGGAAATTATTATTTACATTTTTTTTGTGATTAGCGTTGAATTCATTTAATCACTGTGAAGGTATTAGTTAAAGGTATAAATAATTGATTATTCCTTGATGACCCGACTTTTCCTTTAAGTCAGTCCATCAAGAAGATAAACAGTTCTGGTTATTTTTGACTCCAAAGGCTTAGAATAATGATCATTGTAAAAGAAGAACTCCATGAGAAAGAGAAAATGGTTCGTGGTTTATAGGTAATTATGGTATTTTATATTACTTTTTCCCTGGAATTTTTGAAAAAGTCTGCTTTTGTGATTTTAAACTATATATTCACTATTTTTATTTTTTTTATAAATAATTGAACCACACTCTTTTAACTGAATATTATGTTCATCGTAATAATTCAAAAAAATATTTCCACTCCTGCAGTGGCGGCTGGTGAAAAATATTTTTGGTGGGGCTGATATAGCCTAGTGTATGTCTCCAACTAATCCGGAATAAGAATTCAAATAAACATTTGGACAATACATACAATTTAACAGTAATGATTTAATTTACTATATAATAACAGTAACAGTGATGATTTGGGTCACTGTGACGGGGTTCTTTGGCCTCCAAGAATCCAGGCTCAGTCGGGTTACCGGTGTTGGTGATTTATTGTGCTCAAAAACTCAAAACAGGGTGCAAAAGAAACTAAACATGTACAAGATACTCTGGGCCTCAGCCTCCCTCCAGTTACCAGCAATGTAACAAAGAAACAGAAAACAAAAATTGCCGCTTTTCTTCCCACAGCCCTCATTAAATAGTTTAAGCCCCTACAGGCTCTCTTATTTCTGATTTCTTCTCATAAATCAGTTTTGTCCATATATTACCTCCACAAACAATTGATGTACAAAAACAAATAATTTTTACAACTTAATTCTTTTACACAGATTCATTGACTTATTCAATTACACCAAACTGGGTTTGAACCCAGCAAAGACGCAGCCAGACTGAAGATGACAAGTCCCCGTAGCATAAACACACACACACACACACACACACACACACACACGGCTAACCCCACTGAAATATTAAGTGTGCACCCTCAATACGCCAGCAGGTAACCAGGAACAGCTTGTGTGTTTTAAGTTAATAGAGCTACTGATCTCAGCGCGAGTGTATTGGTCCTCACAAACACAGTATAACAGGAATGTGTGTGTGGCGCGCAAAGTTAGAGAGGTTGTTTTAAGCGACGAGGTGGATTCCTCACAGTCACAATAACCATGACATGAAATGTTCATATCCTACAACAGGGATGTTCTTCTGGCAAACGGGTAGATAAATAAGGATCTCACCGAATTTGGTGGAAGCTGCATCTCGTTCGTTACATTCGCCATCTTCCCTCTAATTGTCTGCACCTGCGCTTGGGTTCAGAAGAGAAGCCTGTAAAAGCGCAGTATTTTCAGAGCCCCAAGACCATAAAGTTCCGAGACGCTGATTGGCCATTAAATTCACCTAGCAATAGTACATGATTGACAGATTCTCTGCAAATGTGGGGCTGTCTGATCAGCGCCCCCAGAACAGAGACGGTAGGAGTCTGTCTGTGGAAATCCACAAATGAATGACAGTAGATAGGGAAATGTAGTTTATATAATTTGTTTTGCTTATAGGTACACACTCTAGAGAGTAAAACTGACATTTATGAGTTAATTTCTAAAAATATATTTTACGTTTCTCTCTTCTTATCAGGGAGGGCGGTGCCCCAGCGCCCCCTATGGGCCGGCCGCCACTGCACTCCTCTCTGTATTCGATTGCATACTTTTAAGCATACAAGTTACACATTTACCCAAAAGAAAGTTAAGTTTAATTTTATTTAAAGAAATGTAAACATATGGTTATAATGTTTATAACTGTATTCAAATACAATGGATACAATCTTGAGGTTTTGTTAAAGGGCTGATAGAATGATGTTATAGGGTATTTGGTGCTGGTCCTTAAGGTCTCTGAATAGGGTGTGTAATATTGATTGGGCTAAAAATGGCATATTTGCTGTTCTATGAGCTCTAATGTAAGCCTGGTTAAAAGCCCTAGAATGAAATGACAGGTTTCTTCCTTTTATGGTATGATCATGAATATTTAGATGAGCTGTGGGCTGACTGATGGTTTACAACGGGCAAAGCTACTGAGCAAAGAGGCATCATAGCAACAAGCACTCACTCACAGAAACATTGAGATTATTGGTATGGTAGGGTGACCAGATTCCTCTTTTTCCAGGATTTGTCCTACTTTTCCTACCTAAAAAATTCATACCCCCACTTCATACCCCCGGGGCGCGATAGTACAGGCAACCGTCACTGTGTTGGATTCGGTTGCTCCATCCCTCGCTGGCCCCCTGCCCCCGTCCGCCGGGGTATCAGGACCAGCTCCGGAGCTGACGGCTCGATTCCAATGCCCGGTCCGGTCCAGTCAGCCCCCCCACCCCCAACAAAAAAAAAGAAGTGTCCTCCTTTTCAAAAACCCATATCTGGTCACCATAGGTATGCTAGCATTGCTATCAACAGCTTAGCCACAAAATAATACTTACAGCTTGTGGTTGAGATGGATCAGCCCGTTGTTTCAGTAAAAGAAGTTTAGTGAATTCTGCTTTGAACTGTCCAAGATTTTGAAAGCTGTCTTCGGTAAAATGCTTACAGCAAATGAACAGCTGAGAATCAAACTTTGCAGGGATCTTCTGATATACAAAAATAATCCATGCCTGTCGAGTCTTCGGATCTTTGGGAAGACTGTGAAAAACTTGCCCTTTCTCCGTGCAGGCTGGAACACTGCATTTCCGCCCATGGTTCTGGCTCAATTTCAACAGAGAAACTGTCTACTTTGTAATTCTTGTAGAAGTAAACCCAACTGTAGGCTAAACAGCTAAACTGGTGTCTTCCATCTCTAGTCATGTTCTTGGGCCAGTGAACCAATCGGGGCGTGATAAAAGTACAGGCCAAAACCGAGGAAGGCAACATCCCCGAATTGACATCAAGTCAGATCTTCATTTGGATTAGCCTGTTTTATGGTTGAAGTTTAGAATTGTGAGATTTACAGAGAAAGGAGGTGTTGATGGGGTTTGAACTTCTCTGTAAATCCATTTCACCCACTAAACTATCGTTATTCAACTATGACAGTTGAAACTCGGTTTTGCATTCTATGACCACTTTAAAAAATATTTTTTTATTCTTTATGAATTAATTGAGTTCTCTCTATAATGGGCCTATCAAAATGATACTGATTAGATTAACTGATACATATTGATTTTTTTTTAAATCAAACTCAAAAACTCAAACGTTTTAAAATAAAATCCAACTGCCTTTAGTTTTTCTACCTCTTTTTGGTTTTGCACCGTTTCCTTCTGCATGCATCCCATTACATTCCCATCACACCAAAGCACGTGCCCTTCTGTTGCTCCGCGCGCTCAAACCCTTCTGCAGACTTCTCGGGAGGTGTGCGCATGCGCAATGGCTTTGAACAGGTGCATGACGTCCACCTCTTCTTTGTCAACATGGAAATGAAAACAGACTGCGTTCATTCTGCCTCGGATTAATAACAGCTGCGCAGGTGTCAAAACCCAGGGAGACCTGCTCGGTCTGCCTTAGTAATAGTCTCTAATGCCACGAGCCAGTCGCGTGCGTAATGTCTGTAACCTGGAGATCCAGCCTTTAGGTTAATATAATTCTTATGGGTGGTAATGGGATTATAACGTGGACCCTCTCAAACATTTAAGGAACAACAAATGACGTCAACACATCTAATTAGGGGTGAAATATAGATAGATATCAGAATCAAAATGGTGAGTAACAAGGTAAAAGGCTTCCCCCGTGAAGCTGCATGAAAGCAACCTTATGACATAACGACGTTCATGAAAAGCAGAGGAGCGACGTGCTGATGCGCTCACCTGCCTTCCCCTCCGGGCACCTGTACCCAGATCCTTCCCGCCTTTAAGATGCAGCAGGGCGCGCGGTGAGATCACCGGTGGTCTCCTCTCCGTTCCTGAGGCGCAGCAGGGCTTCGGCTCCGTCACTTCAGAAGCAGCAGCCCACACATCCACACACGCACGCTGCTATCTTTACCTCCCCGCTAACGGCGCGCGCTCCCTGACTAACGGCTCCATTGATCAAAGAGGCCGCCTTTACGCACCGATCCGGTGTTTAGATGGGAGGCCCGGGAGCCTGAGCGCTGCGCTAGCTGCACTGGATGTGTGAGAAGTTAAGGTCCGTCTGCTGGTGTCGATAAGAACCCATGAAGGCGCAGCAGGACAAGGAACAATTTATTCATGTGCGCTCTAAAGGATTGTGGCGCCATCTAGTGGTAGCAGTACACATAGCCTCCACTTATAAATAAATAAAAGCACTCAGAGCGCCAGTATGTCAAACATTTCTTTTATTACACTTAGATCTTTATTGTGTAGAGACTCTTTTAGATACAAATTATTTACAATTTCAGAGAAAGAACAAATAAGTGCAGTTTACTGACTGAAGCAAAAAGACTGAAGAAAAAAAGAGACGCTGATTTGCATGCACATTAGACGATTAAACATTGAGACTGTGTCCGGTGGCCTGTGCAGGTGCTCCCTTCAGAAATGTTTTGATTGGTGGGTTGGGGAACTGGGTGGCTGGTTAGGGTCATACGGGGCTCATCTACCATGTGTCAGCATAGTCAGAGCTGCAAGAGAAAAAAGGAGATGTTGAAATTGTTGAGAAACCTGATATTAATTATCTTGGACATTTGCATTGAATTTTATTTTCTGAAACGTGCTTGTATACCTATGTAATTCAGTTTTTTCCATATTTTTCAGTCCTTCTATTAAATATACATGTATGTATATATGCTCACCGTGGTTCCCCATCTTGGTTGGAATTTGCGCCAAACAGCAGCCAAGCCACCGCTTCCTCAGGGGAGGATCTCTTTCCGTACCTAGAGGAAAAGAAAAGAAATAGGTAAAAATACCTGCATGTATGACAGCAACCAAACATTGATCGGAAAGTTTCAAATTGCTTTCTTTTCTTTACAAAGAGGAGGCATGACCTCCATCAGCCATTCATCGACTTTAGACCTTGGGGACTTTTTTACTTTTTATATTCCCAACTCTGATCATCAAGCTGTGAACCAAAGTGGTTAAACTGCACATACCCCGCCATGCCTTTGTGTATCCCCTAGCAATCTCGTGCAGTCCAATCACAAATGAGATATGCAATTATCTGAGAACGAAATAAGGGTTTTCAAGTTCACCGGCAGGCAAGTGGAATGCACACTGAAGAATAAACCCTGCCTCCGTCTGAGGTGTGAGGCGGCTGCAGCTTTTCAGTGCTGTGGCAGATCCAGGCAGTTTAATTATACAGCAGAAAAGGGTTAAAGCTACAGCTTCCATCACTAGACAATTATACAACCAGAAAGCTCACTGAACCCTCTGGTTTTATTCAGTCTTCTCCCCCAGCTTTAAGGAGAAAGAGGTGTTTAGGATGTCACAACAGGAGCATTAAAGGCTTCCCGCTTGTCTAACATCAGTATTTTATGCCTCACTGTTTACTCCACCAAGAGGAAAGGCATTAGATATGCCACCGCAGGAGATGTTAGATACATTAAGTGCAAAACACTTAATGTATCTAACATCACTTGATAATAATGTTAGGTGAAGCAATTCAAAACAGGAGGTCATTTATTCCCCGGAGGAAGTAGAGGTTGTAAAATGTAGAGTATGGCTCTCTTCCCAGAGCAGCATGGCCTGGGGGGGGGGGGATCTGAAGGAGTTTGGATTAATCTGGTGTCTACACAGACAGTTTAGACCTTAGATGGATCATTCCACAGATAGATAGATAGATAGATAGATAGATAGATAGATAGATAGATAGATAGATAGATAGATAGATAGATAGATAGATAGATAGATAGATAGATAGATAGATAGATAGATAGATAGATAGATAGATAGATAGATAGATAGATAGATAGATAGATAGATAGATAGATAGATAGATAGAACTAAAATGATTGTTTTTCCTCTGAATATCTTTTAGTTCATAATGTTTTCTACTTTAGATAGAAAAAAGTTTTCATTATATATCAATTAGTTCATCTATTTGTGTGTTTATTTATTCATTCATTTGTTTTAAAAACGTTTTTGGACCGTCTACCCTCTATTCAGTTTTTTTACTAGCCAGTTTTTTTAAATAATTAAACAGTCATAAAATTAGTTCACTTTCAACCAAATAACAACCTTAAACAATAACCAAAAACCTTAATTAGCCCTCCTGGTTCTGACTGACCTCTGCCTGGTGATGAGGTTGACATAATGCCTGACAGCCGCGTGGTACTTGGCCCACTCCTCCGGTGAGGCGTTGCTGCCGGGGCTCTCCGGTTTGGGGGGGTACGCGTCCGCGAAACCGCTCCAACACACCAACAGGCAGACGACCAGAGCCGCGAACATCACCCACGATCTCAGCATTTTGGCCATCTGAGAAGCGAAGCTTGGTGAGGTTTCTATAGGTACAACTTCAAAAAAAGAAATCAAAATACTACTTTTACTTTTTTTTAAGTGAATCTAGAAAATAAAGCACAGCTTAAATAAATAAACTGACGGAACTTCAAGTTAAACGTAAAACACAGAAAAACACAACTTTTCTCTCATAATTCATCAGCAAACAGAGTGAAAACTTACAGTTTGATTTGTCTTCTGATTCAGTCACCTCGGTGGTGCTCCTGTCCTGCTCTCCTCTCTGATCCACAGCATTTTATAGCGTGGGACCACTACCTGATGCGCACTGAGCAACACTTAACCACACCCCTCGCTCTAAAAGCCGCGCGTAAAGCGGCTGGTCATCAGCACCAAACTTTACAAGTCACGCTCCAACTCGAACGTCACTGAACTACTGTAGATTGCAAATTAATTTGTTTGTTAATAATAATGATATTAATAATAGTAATAGAACAAACTACGTTTTAATTTAAGTCACACAAAAAGAAATGTATGAGAATTAAGGGAATGGTGCAGAATTACTGATGGAACCTGTAATTTCAGCACCACGGACAGCGCTAAACCAACATATAATCTGTAAAACAACACCAGAAAGTTTCTTCTTCATCCACTGATCAACCTTATTGTAAATTTGGAGTATAATCTACCCATAACTGGACTGTTCTGTGAGACTGTATCTTCTGTGACTGAATAAAATCCATTCAAGTGCTCCCTAATCCCACAGCTTCATCTCCCTTCACAATTATTCTCCCCTGACAAAGCCCAGTCTGGAAAAGGAGTCTCCATCTTTTTATGATGTAATTTATCAGAAGGATTAAAAACAAAAGGATTTAGTCTTTATTTTTCTCATAAAGATGTGGATAAAAAAAAAACAGACAGAAAGTTGTAATCTCAAAATAGAATGAAGGATTTTTAATAAATGCAAACTGATTCTTTCCTCTTTTGGATTAGTCTTTTTATTTGGCTTCTTAGGCTTGTCAGAAAATATTTAAAACAGTTTCCTTTTTCTCATGTGCAGAGAAAATAAAACACATTATAAGGTACCATTGAAAAAGAACAACCTAAATAAAGTTTGAATACATTTTTCTATAAACTAATGATAAAATAAGGCAGAACCCATAGAAGGCAGCTCTAAAACAGAAGCTAGATGTGTCGTGTAGTAGATCTTATAGAGGAGGGATATTTGCTATTTAAGTGTAATGGATAGTTTATTAGGACCCATAAAAAACATATTACTTTAGAGACTAGAACATAGAAAATAATGTTTTTGATAATATGAAGACCTGGTCAAATCACATTTAATTAGTTGGAAATGAATCTCCTCAAGGAGTTTTGTTTGTGTTCATTTTCAGTGGCACCTTTGTCTCCATTCGCTCATCACTACAGCATGTATTATTCAGCTGGTGATGAAGCGTCTGAAGGGCTGTTGGTCTGGAGGCAGGAGAGGCAAGACACAGATCAATAACACCATTCTGTCTGAGACAAACGCAGGGAAACAGGTGTAGAATTTTATAGAAAGTAATTTGAGATGCTACTATTGACAAATGTTAGAATTAATTGATTCCTTGTGATGTTTAGATTTAGAACTTTTTATCATTTTATTACACAATCAACTCTTTTTGAATAAAAAAAGGATTTAGTGAACTTCTCCTACACAGAAAAGATGATCGGTCTGTAAATTTCATCTTAGGTTCACTTTGAGACAAAATGAGAAAAATAAAACTCAGGAAATCAAAGTACAGGTTTTATAAGAATTAATTTGTTAATTCTGTTGGAAAAAAACTATTTGGTCAAAAAAAGACCAAATCAATACTTTGTAGCATAACCTTTGTTTACAACGACAGATGGCAAACATTTCCTGTCAGTCTCCACCAGGTTTGCTGTCACTGTAGCTGGTATTTTGGCCCATTCCTCCATCCGATCTTGTCTAGACCAGCGATGTTTTTGGGCTGTTGCTGGGCAACACAGATTTTCAACTCCTTTCATCAATTTTCTATGGGGCTGAGATCCTGAAACAAGCTAATCCACCCCAGGACCTTGATCTGGAGCCACTCCTTTGTTGCCTGAGTGTGTTTTGGATCACTGTGACGCAGGAAGACCCAGCCACTTTCAGTCGTCAATGCTCTCACTGATGGAAGGCTTTGGATTACAATCTCACCATACATGGCCCAGTTTATTGTTCCTGTAACACAGATCGGTCACCCTGCCCCCTTTGCAGAAAAACAGCCCCAAAGTATGATGCTTCCACCCCAATGCTTCACAGTAGGTGTGGTGTTCTTGGGATGTAACCCACCATGTTAGTTTGTGTCAAAAAGTTCTATTTTGGTTTCATCTGATCACATGATATCCTCTTGATCCTCTTTAGGATCATCCATCTGCTCTCTGACAGTCTTCAGAGGACCTGGACACATCCTGTCTTCGGATTGAGGGACACGCCTGGCACTACAGGATGCAAGTTCCTCTGAGGTTGATCTGTTTTTGTTTTGTTTTTTTAACACTGTCCTAGTGATCATTTTGACCCCATGTGATGAGATCTACTGTGGAGCCACAGATAGAGGGAGATTATTAATGGTATTTTATGACTCCTATGTTCTGCCAGTTTCTCCCACAGTTGATTTCTTCCCACCAACCTGCAGCCTGTTGTAGATTCTCCCTTCCCTTTCTGGTGCAGGTCTAAATTTTTCTTTTCCTGGGGACCTTTAACATTCTTTGTTCCTGGAAATGGTTAGGTTTGGAGTCGGCTGTTTTAGGTTGCGGACGGGTGTCTCTTATACAGATAATCAGTTCAAACAGGGCCCATTAATGCAGGTAACAAATGGAGGACAGAAAAGCTTCTTAAAGAAGACGTAAGTCTTCATAATTTACAAATTATTTCGTAAATAATTCTACAGTGTGATTTCCTAGATTTTGTCTCTCATCCTTGAAGATAACGTATGATGAAAATTTCAGGCCTCTCTCATCTTTCCAAGGAGAAAAACAATCAATGGCTGACTAAATAGTTTGAGGCTCCACTATATCTAATAACAGAATCTGAATCTGGCTTCATGACTGGAAATAATATGAACTAAATCTGATCAGAACAGCAATCTGTATAACAGGGAATATAATGGATCTGTTTGTCTTTGTTAATGGTTGTAAATCTGGAACTTGCTGCCATCTGACTCGGAGACCAAATCCAACATTAAAATGTTTATTTCCAGACTTAATGTTTGGTTAAACTCCAACCAGAACTGTACTCATTTTTTAAGATATTGCTGCTTTTAGTAAGTGTTGGCGATTCTTTTGTTGAGTTGAGTTAGAGGCTAAGAGTTTTACAGATATTATTTTTATATTACTTTGAGTATTCTATAGAACTTTCTCTTAATTTTATTAAAATAAAAAGCCATGGCTATATACGCACATTGTTTATATTGCTTGTTTAATTTAAGTAGTTCTTTTAAATTCAGCTAAACGTGTTACAGAGGATTAAATTACTGTAAAGAGGAAACCAACTCACTCATCCTATCTATCCCTCCCATAATGCTTCTGGGACGAGTGTTTGAATAGATACCCTTCAGGTATGAGGTGCACACGCTGGGACCACGTTTACAGTACGACTGTGACGGTAGCTCTTGTTTATCTTGGTTCTTCACGGTCTGCTGTTCAGTTTATGACGCCTGAAAACAGTCTTTATCCACCGAGTGCATCTCCTTAGGTCTGTATACGTGTGTGTGCATGTGGAGTACGTGTGCAAATAGGTCGATTATTTCGATGATGCTGATGAGTAATGTGACTTTAAAAGCAGTAATATATCTCCCGTTTGTTTAAAATGTGGATTGTGTGTTGTTGCGTAAAACGTTTCAGGGCCTCCTCATTTATCATTTAAAGGCTGTGAGTAATCAACCTGACTAAATACTAAATAATCACATTTCTTTTAGCTGTTACCTCAGATATCTGTGTTATTTACTATATTTGGGGGTCTGTGCATATTTTGCAATTTTGTCCTTTTCCTCCCATTTTCTTTCTCCTTATCGTTTATGTTTGTATTTCTCTCCTTTTCTCATTGTCTTTCTTCTTCTTCTGTCTTCTTTAGCTCTCGTGTCTCTTTTTTCTTTCGTTCTTCCTCTACATGTTTTCTTTTGTTCCTTTTTGTTGTACTCTTTCTATTTTCTCCCTTTTATCCATAAAATGTTATTTGAAAGTCTTAACGTCAGCAAATCTTGCATGGAAACCTCTGACCTATGAACCCCTAAATAAAGAAACCCTGAAAGCCTGAAGATTTCCTGGAAATGATTGATTTCTCTTCCTCTGTTGCAAAATCAAACAAATCCAGAGGTTACTGCAAAATGACCTGTAAGCATATTGTCTTCGATGGGATGAATAAATAGGCCTATTTATTAAAATAGGGTGGAAATCTCCTCTTTAGCAGTTCTTGATACGAACTAGTTCCTCATCTCATGATGATGGAGCCTCAACATCAGCATTGCTGCTGCTAGCGGCAGCTGAGCTAGTAATTTGGTAGCTTTGAGTGCAGCTTTTTTTCCTTTTTTTTTCTTCTTTTCTTATCCCTTTTTACTATTTGCTTTCATACGTTTTGCTGCTGTCTTCCAGGATCCTTTTACACATGTGAAGGAAGATGGACTGATCCAATGTAGTGGAGACTGAAGACACACTTTGTAGAGAAAAGATCTCAATCAAAACATAATTGGATAGTAACGGTTTTCACAATATGTGTCTGAGGGGTTTTATTGGGGCGTCAGGAACATGGGACTCTAGGCAACTGACTAATATCGCCCAATGGTAACCCTGCCACTGACTGCACACAATAAACACAATATCACAGCCATTTACCCAACAGGAGTCCTCAACACATTGCTCCAAACGTCCAAAAATCACGCAGTGATTTTCCTGATGAGTAGGAGGGAAAAAAGCCCTTGATTCCAGAGAATATCCATTTTTGTAAACCATCATGAATGCAAGTCAGAAAAAAAATATTCTAGTTTTTTCAACAACTATTTGTGTTGACCAGTTAAAAAAGGAATGTCTTGATGGAGAGAATAACTCTGCGGTCACTGACAAAGTCCTCCTTTAACAGAAGATATTTTCTCTTTTTTTAGAAATGATACAACAGACAAAAAAATATAATTTACTGTCCCAAAGGGGGGAAATCCAGGTTTACCAGAAGCAAAGTGAGGTTCACAAAAAGGAAAAAACATCAAATACCAAAAAAAAAAGACTGTGCAGTAAGAGCACATTAACAGCACAAGAAAGAAAACAGTAGTTATTGAAAACGTGTGACTG